GTTTCTTTATATCCCAAGTATTAGTCCCCAGCTTTGTTGCTAAGTGGCATAATAGAGTTGGGCTTGTCACATCGTACCCTACGAGACCTGGGACCCAGCTCTCTTGCTGCTCACCTAAAAACGCCTCTCGTTTACCAGCCTGGTTGGTCTTTGACGTGTCCTGGGGTTTGCCCCACTTCTCCAGGGGCTGAGGTGCTCTCGTGCCTTGCCCCACTCTGCCCTTCGGTGTCCATTTCCCTCCTCACCCCCCCTCCCCCGGCCCCCTCTGCTTGTCCCTTACAGCAGCCTGAACAGTGTCAACAGCAGTGACTCGCGGTCCAGCGGCTCTCACTCGCATTCCCCCAGCTCCCATTACCGCTACCGCAGCTCCAACCTGGCGCAGCAGGCACCCGTGAGGCTGTCCAGCGTGTCCTCCCACGACTCAGGGTTCATCTCCCAGGATGCCTTCCAGTCCAAGTCCCCATCTCCCATGCCACCTGAAGCTGCCAACCAGGTAAGGATGCCCTTGACCCGGAGAGCAGCAGGCACACAGGGTGCCCTGGCCACCGTTGAGGGGGTGGAGCCAAATCCTTGTCTTTTATGGTGTTTCCCAAAGGCAAAGATGCTTTCAGTTGAACTGGAGGCCTAGCTCAACATCCACTAGCAGTTTGGCAAGCTGTCGCATAAGTAGGTAGCCCCAAAGAACGGGGCTCTCTCCAGATTCCCTGTGAGTGCTCAGTCTGTATGATGGTGTGATCCACCATGGGGCATCTCCTTTCCATCGGCAGAGAGCCTGCCTTGAATAGTGAGTGATTCCCCCGGACTCTAAGTGCCCATCAGTTGCGTGGCCAATGGGAATGGTGGTTAGATCCCCCGTGGACAATTCTTTTGACACTTTGACCCTGGGAGAAGGAAGGATGTGTGATCTCTACATCTGTTCCAGTTTGCATGGAACCCGCCCAGGCCAGTGCGCCTGCTGCCACAGCAGGCAGGAGCTGGACAGGCGTTGGGTGTGTGGCTTGTGTGTGTGTCTCTCAGGGGGCCTGTTTCCTAGGGCCAGTTTGTCACCTCTGGCTCAACATTCGTTAATAAGCACAGTGTCCGCAAGGCTAGGACATGATTGGTGTCACCACCTATTGGGTCCCACAGGGCCGCCTGCTGGCAGGGGTGGGGGATCTGGGCCAGAGCACCTTGTTGCTCAGCCAAGGTCAGCAAGTAGAGACCCTCAAAGTTCTTCAGTGTTATTTAGCCACCTGAGGTATGGTGGTCCCCTCCCCTCTCTTTCCCCTTTAGTGACACAGTTTCCCACGGAAAGGCTCAGGGCCGGGCCGGGTGCAGAACTTACTCTGAGTGTGCGTGACTCAGCTGGGGTGCGGTGACTTTGCTCCAGGGATCCCATTCCTTTTACGTTCTTCACTAACCTGTGCCTGTTGACGAGAGCAAGCTGAGAGCACATGCTCAGAAGCAGGGCAGAGTCTTTGCCTCCTTCAAGGCCACTCAGCGTGCAGTCCAGCTGTGTGTGTGTGGGAATTAGCATACTAGTGTACCCTGAAACCCCCTGGGAAAACAAACTCACCCTTCTTATACTTCCGTTGGTGGCTCAACGTTCTGTCCCCAGTAACGTTGGGGGAAGCTAAAGGTAGTAAATTTGGGGTTTCTGAAACCTGAAAGCCTGTACACGCCTGACTAGTGCCCATGAGTAGAGTTTCTGGAGCTAGGGAGCAGGCTCAGTCAGTAGAGAACCTGCCACTCAAGCACACAGACTCAAATGTGGGTCTTCAACGGTCCTTTAAAAGTCAGGTGATGAGCCAGCCCGGCGTGGTGGCACACGCCCTTTACCCCAGCACTCGGGAGGCAGAGGCAGGTGGATCTCTGTGAGTTCGAGGCCAGCCTGGTCTACAAGAGTTAGTTCCAGGACAGCCTGGAATACAGGACAGCCAAAGCAATACAGAGAAACCCTGTCTTGAGAAAAAAAAAAAAAAAAAAAGTCAGATGAAGTAGCACATGCCTTAACCTTGGTTAACACTGGGATGGTGGTGACAGGGAGATCCTGGGGCTTGCTGGCCAGTTAATGTAGCCAGTCAGTTTCTTGGTTTAGTGAGAGACTTTGTCTCAAAATAGCAGGGCCAGTGACAGTAAAGGGGCACCTGTGACTTCAACCCCTGCCTGGCCTCTCACTCATCAGTAGATTGTGTGTCTGTATGTTTTTTTTGGTGCTGGATTTGGAACCCATGGTGGACATGGAGACACACACACACACGCACGCACGCACGCACGCACGCACGCACACACGCACACCACACACACACACACACACACACACACACACACCACACACACACACACACACACACCACACACACACACACACACACACCACACACACACACACACACACACCACACACACACACACACACACACCACACACACACACACACACACACCACACACACACACACACACACACCACACACACACACACACACACACACACACACACAGTAGGCTTTCTGTACATTGGGTGTAGAACTCAGGTTCTCTCAGGCGCCAGGCAAACCATCCACCACTGTCTTACACCCCTGGCCCCGGGGAGTTTATAATAAGCCACAGGGTGTTGCAGAAGTAAAAGGAGAATTGCTCTTGTTCAAACCACACAGCTGCTTGTAGTCAGACAGTAAGAGGAACTTGTAAGACCTTTGCCAAATCACACCAGCCGAGGTGATCTGGTGAGATATTGTTGATCCTCTTCTTAAGGTGAACAACACAGGGCCTCAGAGCTCGACACCGCAGTTCCACAGCTGAGAAATGGTAGAGAAAAAAACATTGATCCGAACCTTTACATTTCTGATCATGGGCTGTGAACAAGATACCAAGTCTGTATTTGGCCCTTTGACCTTGCAGGATGGGAAGCAAGGCCTCTGTCCCTTTGCAGGAATCCCTTTGCGGTGGATGGAAAGGATGTAGACATGAATCTGGCCCCCTTGCCAGTTGGCCCAGCACACTTCGGGGGAATCACAGTGCTGAAGGGCCTGGCTTATTTAGTCAACTCGGGTTTAAACTAGAGGTTTCAGGTAACAGTGAGGAACTTGGAGCAGGATACTTGGTAGCACAAGGCAAAGAGAGAGCTAAGTGGGAGTGACATGGGCTTTTGAAACCCCAAAGCTTGTCCCCAGTGACACACCTCCTTTAGCAAGGCCACACTAATCCTTCCCACGCAGTGTCACCCACTGGTGACCAACTATTCAAACGTAAGAACCTATGGGACTTGGTTTCATTCCAATCCCCACATCAGGCTACAAAAACAGGCGTATCAGTGACCACAAAGACAGAGTCCCTATTACCGCAGAGTGTCAGAAAACCAGGCTAGGGGCAGGACCCTGGCAGGCCTGTGGACATAGTGCCATGAGCACTGGGACATTTCCCCCAGCTGGTCCTCTGGCCCTCTCCAGAGGCTTCACCCTGCAGTGCGCTGGCCACTGGAAACATACACTGACCACAGGGCTTCCCTGCTCAACTCACTCCCCAGCCACAGTACCTCAAATGTGTCTTCAAGACTGGAGGTCCCATCATACGGAACAGAAGCTGTGTTGAACCCCATAAGAAGGCAGAAATTAGAGCCATTCAGCCACAGCCTACCTGGGGACAGGTTTGTGCAGTGTGCAATACTCTGCACCTACAAGGTCCTTTCTGGGGACCTGAGCTGTGGGGTATTGTCATCATACGCCCAAGAGCACATAGCCTTGCCGGAGGTCCATTGTGTTGAGCTTGTGTTCCTCTACCAGGCACAGGTGCCAGTTGATGTCTGCAGGCCATATGGTCAGCAGGGCCAGAACGTGGCTGGACCTCACTTGCTTTTCAGGGGCTTTCTTAAAACCTGTGTGGGTGAAAACTAAGCCTTAACTTACCCTCTGCTTCTCTCATCCCTCCCTCTTCTGTGTGTATGTCTGTGTCCCTCTCTGTCCGTGCCCTTCCCACCCTGTCCTTCTTCCTTTATTTTAATTATGATTTCTGGTGGCCCCGTGGTTTCATTGGTTGGTCCCCTCGTGTGGCTCCTCCCTGCCTACAGAACTCATCCAGCTCGGCCTCCTCAGAAGCGTCGGAAACCTGCCAGTCAGTGAGCGAGTGCAGCTCCCCCACCTCAGTCAGCTCAGGCTCCACCATGGGCGCCTGGGTGTCCACAGAGAAGGTGACTGGCCAGGGCCGCAGCCATGCCTGCCGCACACAGCCACCACAGCTGTAGGAACCTGGAAGAGCCGGGCCCTCTGTGGGACAGGACCTGAGCAGGCGGAGGGCTCCTGGCTGCCCCGCGTGGATAGTGAGGGAGAGGAAAGGGGTCTGGGGAACTCGGAGATGTGAAGGCTTCTTCTTCCCAGAGCAGGGTCTGTGTTCACCCGTTCTCCCCTCTTCTTTCCCGAACATCCCACGAGACTGTCGGATGTGACATCTCACTGTGTTGGAGGCATGCACTTTCCTGCCTTTTCGTTTGCTCCACCCGACCCCACCCCTCACATTGACGCAGAGTCTGCTCTTGAGCAGAGTGATGACTGGGAAACCTAGAATGAACAGACTCATTTGAAAAATCCGCGAATACTCACATAACGAAACGAGCCAATCCCTGGAAAAGTGAAACTGTGCTTCACTAGTTTAAAAGAATTAAAAGATTAAGGATAATGGTCAATTTCTGAACTGTCTTACCACCCAGCTCAGGTTTCCCCGACTGGGTTCCTGGGTGCCGAGTTGAAGCGTTCTGTGCACCCTGGCTCTCTTCCTGCATCGTACGTCATCCACAGGCAGGAGAGTTCCAAGAGTTCCAGCGATGGTTTCATTTGTAAATATTCAGGTTTCCCCGCCCCCTGTCCTCAGTGTCAGGGCCATCTTGTATCTCGACACTCATCCTGTTATATTAATTTGTTCCTTTTCTCCTCCCCTTTTCTGTTTGTTTTGTTTCCAGTTGTCTAATGGGTTTTCTCACTATAGTCTGTCAAGTGAGTCCCATGCAGGGCCCGTGGGTGCAGGCCCTGTCCCTCATTGCCTGCCTGCCTCCCGCCTGCTCCCGCGGGTCACCTCTGTCCACCTTCCTGACAACGCTCATTATTACACCATTGGGCCCGGCATGTTCCCGTCATCTCAGATCCCTAGCTGGAAGGTTTGTGTCCCCCTCCCTCCCCCTCCCCCTCCCCCTCATTGCTTCTGTGCTCAACCCTCTTCTGTTCTGCCAGCCTCCCCTGGACCCTGCCCTGCCCGCCCCTCTCTTCCTTTCACACTCTGCCTTCTTCCCCACACCCCTCCATCCTCAGGAAGCCCCCTGGGGTGGGTGGGGCAACAACAGGCAGCAGGCCATACTGTCCACGTGGAACGGAAACCCAGTTCCTTTAGAGAAAGAACTGGAGACTGGAGGTCAAGGGCTCTGCCTCAGGGCCGAGCCTGCTGGCCCCCTTCCTTCCCTCCTGGGCCACCTACCCTGTTCTCCTGGGCCATATGCCCAACAGGACCCTACGGTCTTGCTGTAGTAACAGAACCGCAGGCCAGAGTCTGCTTTGGGTCATTATATATTGCTGTCGCTCAGTAGTATATGAAGACTTCAGTTTTCATTGTTTCATGTTGAAACGTTTGCTTCCAAATGAAAGCCAAGCTTTTACGTGATTTCCATCAGGGCAGCTGAGGCTCCAGGTGGGTAAGTCGGTCCCTGGGCTGCCAGCGTTTTAGCAGATTGTGACTTCATCCTCAAAACCTGCCGCAGATCCTGGAGCCCTCTGCCAGACAGGCCCAGCTTGCCAAGTGGAGGATGTAGCTGTAGAGTGGCTGGTGGAGCTCTAGCGCCCCCTGGTGGCCACTGAGGCGTGGCCAAGTCGCTCAGTTGCTATAGGAGAGAATGGCTCCTTCGGGCGATGGCTGGCTCCTGGCTGATGGCTTTGGTGTATAACGACCACTTGTCAGGTGGCTTCTGCCTGCCAGGTTGTTGAGAGTTTTTAGTCTTTGGGCAGGGACAAGGGGAAGGGAGGCACCTAGGGACCCTCAGTGAGTGTGGGCAGTCAGAGGAGCTAGGGGCTAGCCTCTGCTAGAGAGCTGCCTTGTGTGGGCAGCTGTGATGGGTGGCTGTAGCCCTCCATCTGGGTTGGGGGCCATGGCTCCTGACCTCACCGTTCTACCCAGGACTGGGCAAAGCCAGGACCCTACGACCAGCCACTGGTGAACACCCTCCAGCGCCGCAAAGAGAAACGTGAGGCGGACTCCAATGGGGGAGGACCCGCCACCACGGGAGGTCCTCCTGCAGCTGCCGAAGAGGTGCAGAGACCCAGGAGCATGACCATGTCGGCTGCCACCAGGGTGAGGCACCTGTTCTCTGGATCTGTTGGCTTCACATAGTTGGGTGACGATGGGGATCATGGCCAGCAGTTTGGGCTCCGATAGCCTTGCAGCCGGAGAAGTGGGGCTCCAGTCTTCCCCTGTTCCTCCATAGCGTATGGAAATGCTTGTGTGGGAATAAGGCATATAGAGCTTCCTAGTTCCTGACTGAGAACCATGCAGGTCTGAGTAACCACCTGAGGCTACTGGCGCGGTGGTCAGAGGGAGTGATGTCGGGTCCCACCCACAGTAGCGTGTGCGGGCGTGTGCGGGCGTGTGCGGGCGAGCGTGTGTGTGCGCGAGCGTGCGCACGTGCAAGCATGCTCTGCTTCCAGAGTTTTCATGTCCCTGGTGGCTTGTGTGACTCTGCCCTCTGTCCTGCAGCCTGGTGAGGAGATGGAGGCCTGTGAGGAACTGGCGCTCGCCCTGTCACGGGGCCTCCAGCTGGACATGCAGAGGAGTAGCCGAGACTCACTGCAGTGCTCCAGCGGCTACAGCACTCAGACCACCACCCCGTGCTGTTCCGAGGACACCATCCCCTCCCAAGGTACGAGGCGCCCAGCTTGCTGTCCGGCTTTCCGGGCGGCTCCAGGTGAGGAGGCAGCGAGCTGGTGGCTGTTGTACACAGCATAACTCCTGGCTACAGTTGGGCTCTGGAATGACTGCCATCTGAGGGTGCTTGGGGCAGTGGTCTGTAGTTGACAGGTGGCTAGCTGTGTAGCTAACTGTGTAGGAAGTGGCCTGAACATTAGCAATTTTGCTCGCTTTTCACTGTCATTGGATAGTGCTCCCGTGAGGCTGCTCTTGGCCATGAAGTCCCAGTATTGGGCGAAAGCCTGGAGATTTGGATGAACAACAAGACTCCTGGTCCTTTTCTGAGAGAATGTCTCTCACCTTTATTGTGGAGCAGCCTTATACACAAACTTACAAAAACCCCAGGGCAAAGGGTTCACAACAGGATATTGATCCCAGTGGGGCGAGGTCAGGCAAACAGGAGGTACCTGTGGCTATGCTGGAAAACAACTCTTAGAGACCCCATGGGGGCTGGGTTCCAACGCTCGCCCGCCCTGAAGTGAGACTATACAATTAGCAACAGCTTCGTGTTTGCTCTGCACTTTGCGTAGCTCTGCACGGGAGAGACATTTTCTCCCCATTTTACAAATGTGGACACTGAGGCCTGGGAACTTGACCGGATCCACACAAAGCCCATGTAAGAGATGGAGCCCAGCACCTAAGTTCCTAACCTAGTCAAAGCCCCTGTCACCCTGCCTCTCTCCCTCATCCCGCCATGCACACAAGGCGAGCAAAACAGACATCCAACAGCTGGAATCACTCTGTGATGGCTGGCCAGAACCACTTGTAACAAGCTGTGAGTCAAAGAGCCAGTGAATTTCAAGTAAAGGTGCCGTCCCTGTTCCCCCTCCCCTTGGGATATTGGGTAAAGTCTGGACATGCCTTTGGTAGTCAGAACTGAAGGAGGGCTCCTGGTAGAGACTAGGAGTGATGCTAAAGTCTCTCTAGAACAGTAGCCCTCTAGACCTCGCCCCAACAAAGAATTACCTAGCGCCAAGCCTCAAATTTCAGTTGATTTGCTGTTCAGGAACTTGGCCGTACAATCCTTACTGTAAGTATCCGCTCCCCGTGGCCCCGAGATGTGCGTTTTAAAGCAGGTGTGCGTGCGAGAGCCTTGGTACTTTGTTTCCGGGAGCTCCATTCTTCTCTGGCTTTCACTTGAGCAGTTAGTTAGGCCAGGGAGATGGGAAGGCCAACTCTGGTCTGTGAGATTTCTCATGTCTAATTCTGGACCAGAGGATTGGCCGAATTTATCTCTTTTCATCCTCTGTATTCCTCCCAGAGGTGGTTGGAGGCAGCTTTGTCACAGTGCAGCATAGGTCCCTCCCCAACTCATAGTTCTCTGTTGTGGGTACCCGGGACAAATTAGTGAACAGAGCAGAGGGCTTCTGTAGGGAATTGGCACTGAGGCAGAACACATTTCGGCCCCTGGGCAGAGGACAGGGAGGCCATGTGTACTCTGTTCCTCTGTCTGCCAACATGGCATGGGAAAGGAAGAGTCAGTGCCTTGGACCTAGACCTGTCTAATCAAGTCCAATCCTCAGTTTCAGACTATGACTATTTCTCTGTAAGCGGTGACCAGGAGGCAGAGCAGCAGGAGTTTGACAAGTCCTCAACCATTCCAAGGAATAGTGACATCAGCCAGTCTTACAGGCGGATGTTCCAAGCCAAGCGCCCAGCCTCAACTGCTGGCCTTCCCACCACCCTTGGACCTGCTATGGTCACACCAGGGGTTGCAACCATCCGACGGACCCCTTCTACCAAGCCTTCTGTCCGTCGGGGGACCATTGGAGCTGGTCCTATCCCCATCAAGACACCAGTGATCCCTGTCAAGACCCCAACTGTCCCAGACCTCCCCGGGCTGTTGCCAGCCCCTCCAGATGGGCCAGAGGAGCGGGGTGAGCACATCCCCGAGTCTCCATCTGTGGGGGAGGGACCCCAGGGTGTCGCCGCCAACATACCCTCTTCCTTGTGGAGTGGCCAAGCCTCTGTCAACCCCCCACTTCCAGGCCCAAAGCCCTGTATACCCGAGGAGCACAGACAGGCGATTCCAGAGAGCGAGGCTGAAGACCAGGAAAGGGACCCCCCAAGTGCCACTGTCTCCCCAGGCCCGACTCCAGAGAGTGAGCCCGCAGACCTGAGCCCGAGGGAAAGCCCTCAAGGAGAAGACATGCTGAATGCTATCCGCAGAGGCGTGAAACTGAAGAAGGCCACCACCAACGACCGTTCAGCCCCTCGCTTCTCTTAGGGCTCAGTTCCCGAGAAACGCTGCCAGTGGGGAATGAACTCTTTCATTAATAAAGCCTAATTTGTCTGATCCATTCCAGTCTATAATCAAGCAAAAGATTTTGTAGGCAATTCGGAATTCTGCTCTTTTGAAAGTATTCATCTTTAGATAAGAATTAAAAAGCAACATATGTAATTGACATAATCTTGATCTTTTAATTTGTAAATATTGACAGTTTCTTTCTGCATATTTTCATCTTAGTTTCCCTTTTGATTTTTCTGAAGGTGCCAAATTCCATTTAACTTTTTTACAAGTCTTTGTAAAATTTTAAATGCATAAAGGGGAGGGGGGGTGGGTTGGGCCTGGGAACCTGGAGTAATTTCACAAAAGGATGACATACTTATTCTTTTTCTTCCTTCAAGCTTTTGTAGATGCATTGTAGTCGTCTAGATTAGAAGCAAATTCAAGTTGCTTTAATGGACAAACACAACGGATAAGGGGTGAAGCCCTCTTTCACATACACTGTGCTCTGGATGAGAAACGCAGTATAACAGTTGAGCAATACGCAGAGAGAGAGAGAGAAACCCGGACATGGTGGACTGTGTTGGGACTGGGGGGAGGGGCGTGGGAGGGGCACACTGTCAACGTAGCCGATCCTGTTCCATTTAAGAGTAGCCTTGTAGGTTGGATTTCCAGTAGCTTCATGGTTAACGCATCCGAATAAGCCATACTAGATTGCAGTGTTTGTTTCCGTAGGGTTTTTAAGGACTTCTTTCACACAGCACTCACATCCCGCCCACGCATGCCGCTGCCACAGGTAGACATAGTCCCGTCACTTTCCAGTCTCTCACACTCACTTCCACTGAATCCAATACATCCAAAGGGGTAAGGCAATTCAGAAAATGTGAAAACATTAAAAATGATAGCAGGGAATTCTTAGATATAGAAAATGCCTTTTACTTACTTAACTGTGCCCAGCAGGCTGGGTACACTAAAAAGCCCAGATATTTTGAAGAAGAAAAAAAAAATGAAAAAAACTCAAATAGATTTATCAAGGGTAACCAACTTGGAGTCTAGCGATTTGCCATTGTGCTTACGGATCAGGGGGCTTGTTTTTCTTCTGTTCATTAAATAAGGACAGTTGATTGACTTCTAAACACCGGAGCGAGGAGGATTGATTTACTGTCACTAGGAGTCTGATCTCTATTCAGACAATGTTTTTTCTTGTTTTTTAAAGATGGATTTGTCTTTTTTTTTTTTTTTTTAAAGTGGAAGTTAAATTTGTTACAATGCCCATCCCTAATGTCAACAGAGATATTTGTAGATTCGAGGGATCGTGTTGATGGCTCTGTCAAGAGGCCCTCAGCAGTACAGTGGCTGAGAGTACACGCTTGTTTCTAGGACAAGCGTGGTGGGTCCTCTGCTCTGCGGATCTCTGTTGGCTCTAACCGCGTTGGCTCTAACCGCCGATGACATCTACTTTAAGACGTAACCGCATTGGACGTGAGAGCACCGTTCCTGTAGCCACTGTTTATATATTAGTGTGTAACACTGCTGTGATTGCTCAAAGGACTTTTTATGTTATGGCTTTAAAGCAAAGGCATGATTATTAGAAACGACGCAAGCTCTTCTCTTTGAAAAACAAGCTCCTTTTACAGACTATACGCAAACAGTAGTGCCTGTGGTGGAGCCCACCAAGCTCGACGACGACTCAAAGTTAGCTGATGCATTCCTTGTGCAGATGATGCTTGAGATGGTTTTTGCAGATTCAGAGATCGCTGCCAGGTCATTCGAATGGATGCAAGTGGTGTTTTAACCCTTGGAAAGGAATGGATGTAACTGTACGCTGATACAGCTTTTCACTTTAGTTTTTAAACCTTAGTATAATCTCAATAAAAGTTAATATAAACTGTTGCCAAATTCAATGTAGAAAGAATGTGACAAACGCCTTGGGTAGCTCTGTTTGTGTTTTTTGCATATTGTAAAAGCAGTGTCACAGCTGAAAACGATCACTTCCTTAAAGGTCACTGCCTGTGGTTTAGTTGCTAGTTTGTATTGAGAGTTGACCTCTCCCTGTGCAGTTTTTGTTCTGAACTTGTATAAATAACAGTGTGTAAAGTGTCCCCCCTTCCACATTGTAACAATTGCTTCAGCCTACCTTATAAATAAAGAACCACTAAGAAAAAGTCTTTAAGTCTCATTCATAGGGTTCGAGGTCTTGTCCAATGACAGAGCATTGACTGAGTCTCCAGCTGAGCTCAGAAAACGTTCAGGAAATCATTTCTGTGGCAGTTGTGACATTTAGGGGCAAGAGCTGCCTAAACTAATTATTTGAAAACAGTTCCAATGAGTTAAACCAAAACCTAAAAGCAACTCGTTTGTATTGGCAGTGTAAGATGGCTTTCCTTTTTTTTTTTTTTTTTTTTTTTAAAGGCAGAGTTTCCAGTATGCAGCCCTGGCTGAGCTGAAACCCTATAGACCAGGGCAGCCTTGAACTCCTCAGGGATCCACCTGCCTCTGTGTCCTGAGTGTACACTTTTTTTTAAAAAGGTTTTATTTATTATATATAACATTCTGCTTCCATGTATATCTGCACACCAGAAGAGGGCACCGATCTCATAATGGATGGTTGTGAGCCACCATGTGGTTGCTGGGAATTGAACTCAGGACCTCTGGAAGAGCAGTCAGTGCTCTTAACCTCTGAGCCATCTCTCCAGCCCCAAGCCTTCATCTTTAAACCTGAACTCAGCTGGGTTAGGGAGATGGATGGCTTAGTGGATAAAGCACTTGCAAGAGCCCATGGAGCTGGGGGCAGCCATGCATAAGAGACCTCAACTCAAAGATGGAAGGCAAGGAATCCCTGCACTGTTCCCTGCCCTGCCCCCCCGTGCTGGGCCACACAGACAATATGTCAGCCTGGTCCTAACAATGTCGAATCTGCCCCATGATAAAGTTTTCCTTACTGAGCACATGTGCTATCAATACAATTCTACATGTAAGTTTTAAAAACATGGTATCTGTCATACAAACCAAACCACAGTACGGGAAAATGTGCCACAGTAGTCCTTGGAAGAAGAACTCAGTCACAGCCAACCATGTTGAGTTATTTTTATTAGGGCAAGTGTGAACAGGCTAAGTTCTTTCACTTGCAAGCGTGAACAGTGTCTACACGGGCCGTTCCCGAGGTCTGGTCACGATATGCCACCACAGCGGGGGCAAGTCACCTTCCTTTCTGGCGGGAGGCAGAGCTTCAGTCATGACACCGTCAGAGGGTGTCTCCTCCTGCAGCTGCTTAACCTGCAAGGGGACAAGAAAGGGTGATCACCAAAGGGACCTAACGGCAAGACCCGGCTGCCGTGGTCCCATGATAGCCTGCCCGTGATGTGTGAGCAACAACAAGGGTTTATTTCATATAAACCTGCATCGTGTCCTCATCTGACTGTACAAATGAGAAAACTGCTCCTGAAGTCAGGGTCATCTATGGAGCCAAGTCCACTGGCCTGGAACTTGCAGTGTAGCCCAGGCTGGCCTCTAACTCCTCGGTCTGCCTGCCTTGCTTTTTTGAGTGCTGTAGTCAGAGGGGAGCCAGGCAAGTGTTCGCTCGCACTTTTAGTACAGGCAAGGTGATTGCGCTACCTCTCTTCCTCCTTAAGCAAAGCCACAGGTACCTTCCTGATTCCTCTTGTCTTGGTCCCCCAGGAAACCCTCAGCTAAATGCTCTCCAAAAGCACTGTGAGGAAGCCCCAGGTCAGATGTAGTAGAGAAGCAAATTCAGAAGTTCCTGAGAAGCTGGGCGGTGGTGGCCCACGCCTTTAACCCCAGCACTCGGGAGGCAGAGGCAGGAGGATCTCTGAGTTCCAGACCAGCCTGGTCTATAGAGCGAGTTCCAGGACAGGCTCCTAAAGCTACACAGAGAAACCCTGTCTCAGAAAAAAGAAGGAAAAAAAAAGGTTTACAGCAGTCCAAGAATACAGGCAAAGTCACATGAACAGTGAACTCCGTCCTGCCTGATGCTGACCAACAATTCCTGTTGTAGGATTCTCAGGTCACTGTCGAAAGCTCATCGGCACCCAGCACTGGCTAAGGTGAATACAAGTAGAGAAGGGAGGAATGCCAGAGAGGGTCCCAGTGATGACTGGTAGAGCAAGCCCACTTCTCTACCTCCCCCACACCCCAACCCAGACAGGGTTTCTCTGTGTAACAGTCCTAGCTGTTCTGAAACTCTGGAACTCACTCTGTAGACAAGGCTGGCCTTGAACTCACAGAGATCTGCCTGCATTTGACTCCTGAGTTACAGAGAAAAACCCTATACTGAAAAACCAAAAAAAGAAAGAGTTAAATGGGCAAACTGGACCTGGCAGCTCAGTATAGCTAAGGAGAAAATACTAGAACAAACCAATGTCCAACCAGTGTCAAATGGGTCGGCAAGTCTACTTTCCCCTGCAGGCTCACCCTCTCCAAATCCCACACAGCTCTTCCATGCCCTCCACACCCCGGTCCCTGGGCGGTTTCTCAGGAGATTGAAGAAGCGGATTCCACCGTCTCATCTTCAGAGCTTTTAACTTGAATGCATTTATGTGCCCTATCTACAAAGTAGGGGGGGGGGAGAATCTTTGCTACCTTCCTCTCAAGGGTCTCATTCACTGTACGGTTTAAGTACAAGTGAAGACTCAGAAATACTCTGGACAGCTGGATCTATACTTCCGATCAAACTCCACCCTCCCCAATGTTGGACTGTCCCGGCGAGGCTAGCCACCCTCACTTTACCAGTCTTCCCCGTGCCCGCCACCACCTGCCCTCCGCCCATCCCCCACAAACAATGAACACCCCCAGGGGACATCCTGAATGTGGCCACACCCCCTTTCCACTAAACTACTACACTGGCCCTGAATTGGGCTCCTCATGTCCTCTCCAATATACGTCACTCACACTATGGAAGAGCAGCTAAAACCTGACTGGGGACACCCTCAGTGGAATGAGGAAAACTGCCTGGGGCTCTCGAGTAGAGAAAGGATAGGAAGTGGACAGACAGAATACAGGAAGTGGTGGGAGGGAAAAGATTAGAGAACAAAGATGCTCAACACATACCAGAGAGGCAGCCCATAGGGAAGATGACCAGTGCGAAACTGACACAATGAGAAACCAAAGGCCGAGCAGCTGTCGTGCTGGGATATGGACCTCAGCACAGACAGACACACGCCATCAATCTGTCCACACTGCCCGCCATGGCGCACTGCAGACAGCTGTCGTGCTGGGATGTGGACCTCAGCACAGA